AAACCCTTACTTAACCCCAGCAGGAAGGTCACTCCTCGCACTACCACCGAGACTGGGAGGAATGGGAATCACTAGTCCCGAGGAACTTGCTGCCACGAAACATCAGAACTCAGTCAAGCTCACGGCAGTCCTCACTGAGCACATAGCTCAGAATGCAGCAAGTCAGGTGGAAACCAACGAATTACACAAAGTTCAACGGTCCATTACGACAGAGCGGCAGCACACCTAAAGTTATAAAGTTCAGTAACTGATGCAACAACTGTTAAGGAACTTGAGGAAAAAGAAGTAGCTATAGCGCCTCAAACTGGCTAGCAAAGTAACCAAAAAGAGCAACAGACTTCAGCCTTAATAAACAAGAATTTACAGATGCCATTGCCCCAAGGTATGGTTGGCCAGTAGAATGTTTGGCCTCCCAATGAGTGTGCAGCTCATCCTACGACATCGACCACGCCATGGTGTGTAAGAAAGGGGGCTTCGTCTGCCTGAAGCACGACGAAGTAAGGGATCTAACAGCAAATATACTGAAGGAAATCTGACACGACGTCATGGTGGAACCGCCCCTCTTTCCATTGGACGGTGAGAACCTCCATCACAGGACTTCAAACACATCTAATGAAGCCCGTGTGGACGTCAGTGCTTGAGGATTCTGGACGAGGGAACAGCGAGCCTTTGAGATCAGGATATTCGACCCCATGGCCGCATGTCATTGTAACCTAGCTCTTGAAGCTGCACACAAGAGGAACGAGAACCAAGTGCAAGATGCTTCTACGCAAGACAGGCGGAGGTGTTATCTGAACAGAAGCAGCAGCCCAGAAGCTAAGTTGCAGCCTGTTTGAGATGTCGACTGTCCTTCTCTCTGCTTAGGTCTGCATTGCTTTGCCTCAGGGGAACGAGATCATCGGCCACAAAGCCAACAACAGTCGCAGATATTGCCCGTGAGGCAACAGTCACTGAATGATGTATAGATCTGCGGCTTAACTCAGCTAGGGTAGCTTATTATGTATTAGGATAGTTAGGTAATAAAATGGTGGTGAAGGTGTGGCTATAAGGGGAGGCCATAAAACAGTAGTAGTGGCGGCGACGGTGGCAGCAGCACACACAGCAACAGCATCCAACTGACTCACTTAAAGCAGCTGACCGACTCACTTAAGATTCCACACGAATTGGATGGTCAAAGATGGCAGCGAAATTACACACACACACACACTCTAGTACAAGGTGTTGTAAAAGTCGCTGTTCACCTGCAGTAATTAACAATAATAGTTGAACCTTGTTATACCTACATTGTTATATACAGTAAAATGTTCTACCTACAGCAAATCCTGGATATGGTATCCACTTTCAGGATGTTCTGTGACCACATCCAACATTTACTGTAAACAGAAACAGATAAATAACTACGTATATTTTTAATTATTGTAGACACACAGAGACTCTCCAGACACCTTGTACAGTTCCTCTTCAACGTTATTTACGACAAAAAATAAATAAATCTTTTGAGAATCGTAACCCGGGCCAGGTGGTAATGACCTGACTAGTACTGACTTAAGTGAGGGGGGAGAGGAGGGTGTTAGAGAGAAGGAGAGGAAAGGAGCGAAGATGAGGAGGAAGAAAGGGAAGGGAGATAGAACAGGAGAGAGAGAGAGAGAAAATGTGTAAAGAAACACTCCTCAAACACACCTTCACAGCGTCTCACAATCGGTGTTTGGTCCTCCTAAGTAAACACAATGACCCCCCCCCCCCTACCTCATACCACACCACCACAAACAACGATGACAATATGGCCGAGATATTACACCCAGACTGTACTATTTACATTACCTTCACCCCACCTACGAGACATAATTCTGATCACCTGAAGATTAGCTTGGTCTAGTTTAGGTTAGCTGGGGAAGAGGAGGGAAGGAGGGGACTGGGGGTCAACAGCCTGAGTTAACCAAGTGATTCGGCAATAAACCATCCAAAGTTGTGAAAATCCTCTACCTGAAGATATACCTGGTAGTCCTGTATACCATTACCTGCCGCTCAAGACCACACTGTCAATAGCATCTTACAAAAATGGATATGTTGCGACGTCTCTGAATATTCAACAACTTCTCAACCTTGTTACCAGAAACTTGCTCAGCCTTGATTGTTAAGTAAAGGACGAGTTCAACATTTTGGTCAGGTCAAGTTAAAATGGGAGAGTGGCGAGGTCAACGACACACACACACACACACACACACACACACACACACACACACACTGTATATTGTTTGTATATATGAGTTGGTTATATACAGTAAATGCTCAATCAATGTCAACTTGTATGGCGATTTTGCATATCTATCCCTTTATCTTTCTACCTATGTATCTCTCTATCCATCTATCTATTTATCTATCCATCCATCTGTTTAACCACCTATCCACCCATGTCCCGAAAATTGGTACACAGGTGGAGGCGACAAGCTACCTGTGTGGAGGAAGGGGGGTGGATAATGAGGTGCCTGAACCCCTAATTATACAGTTAATAGAAGCAGGATGAGGGTTAATGACTTAGTGGATAGTTAATTAGCTCGGTGGTCCAACTTGTTGATAGTTCGTGGGGTCAGGTGGGGGTTAAGTTAGGTCAGGTGGTACAATGGTAGTGTCAAGGTGTCAGATCAGGTGGGAGTGTCAAGGTAGCAGGTGGTGGTGTCAAGGTGGCAGGTGATGGTGTCAAGGTGGCAGGTGATGGTGTCAAGGTGGCAGGTGTCGGCCTGTGTGGTGGTGGTGTCAAGGTGTCAGGTGATGGTGTCAAGGTGTCAGGTGTCGGCTCAGGAGGGTGTCATAAGCACAACGCACACTTATCCCGTGTCAAGTGGTCCACCTGTAGCCGGATGGGTAAAATACTGACACTCTCATACCCGTTTATATCTCTGTTTGCTTCATGCTTACTTGTTCGTTATGTTTTTATTTTATGTATGTCTGTTCATGTAATTATTTAATTATTTTCTTGTTGACACGTGTTATTTCACCTCCCAGTAAACACTAATAAACTCACCTGTCTAGCAAATTCTCACACCTGAACGGGCTAATTAACAGGTGAACATCAGGGTCAGTTTGGTCACATCCAGTCAGTTATCCATTTCATTGTTATTATAAAGTTATCCTATTCTCCCTACTTCTTCTTTATCTCCTTGTTGTGTATTTTCTTTGTTTTCATCTTTATCTTCTGTTTCTTTTTCTCGTTTTTCTTGTATATTTTTTGGTTTATTTGATCTATTTATTTATCTACGGTAAAAATGAGTAACTAGAAATTTCACGTAATCCCTAAAATGTCAATTAACCTAACCTAACCTCCCCCCCCCATTCCACTCCTGTATGAGGCATACATACAACCCATTTACACCAGGGACTCCTGACCCACCACTCCACCCACCCACCACCAACCCACACACCCAACCCCACCCACCACCCACCCACACACCAACCCACCCACCCACCCACACACCCAATCCACCCACCCACACCCACCACCCACCCACCCACCCACACACCCACCCACCACTCCACCCACACACCCACCCACCCACACCCACCCACCCACACACTCCACCCACACACTCCACCCACTACTCCACCCCCTGATTTACGACCAGGGTCTTAGGTTACACTCAAGGGATGAAGGTGTGGTGTGTTGCTGGAGGAACTAAAGACAGCATAGTTTGAAAAGGGTCTTAGGTTGTCTTTGTTATTTTGTTTTGTTGTTTTGTTTCTTTGTTTTTTGTTTTTGTTTGTCCTAGCAATGGTTTTAAAATTGTCCTAGGAGCGTTGATATTGTCCTGAGTTTGTCCTAGCAGTTAAAATTAGGCAAAACGTCATTCATAAAATGCCCTTGAATTTTCTGTCTACATCACCGACCACCCACCCACACATCACCGACCACCCACTTCCACATCACCGACCACTCCACCCACACACTGACCACCCACTCCACACATCACCGACCACCCACCCACATCACCGACCACCCAATCTGCCATCACCGACCACCCACCTCCACATCACCGACCACCACCTCTCCACATCAATGACCACCCACCCACATCACCGACCACCCACCTCCACATCACCGACCACCTCCACACATCACCACCCATCCCCACACATCACCGACCACCCACACACACATCACCACCCACCTCCACACATCACCGACCACCCACCCCCACACATCACCGGCCAGCCTCTCATCTCTGGTAGGTAACGTAACAATAATCTACAAGTTTTACATCAACACTGTCCGCCGCCATCAGGACTGGAACACAAGAGAGAGCATCACGTCGTCTAATTCCTCACGGCTCCTCACCTCTCTTCACCTGCTCGTCTTATTCACTTAACCACCTCCATTTTATCATTTTAAAACACAATATAAACAAAAACTCAACCTCCCAAAAATACCTCAATAGGAAAAAAAATACTAAAAACATCTCACCTAGATCAATGTGAAGATCTGCTTGGGCGAGTGCCGCGTCATTCTCGCTCGTTGATTGGCTGGGAGGATGTTGAAGGACGACGCTGATTGGTTCGGCCCTCAAGCTGCCATCTGTCGGAGGCTCCTGTAACCTCGGCTGGTAAACAACAGCTTCTGGTTCTGTAAAGAGACAAAAGACGATTTGGTCAACACCTTGGCATTATCCTCGTCTCCCAGGACAATAAAACCGCGAACAGAGCAAAAATAACCTCACCATTTATACTAATCAAGTTTTTTTTCTCTCTCATTATCGTATTAAAAGACACAAAGAGAGGAATTTCAAAAGACACCGACTTACGCTCTGTTTTCATATACGCAAACTAGTAGAGTCTTCAATTTAATCGTCATATTTGTCTAGTGTGTTTAGTTAAAAGGTGTAAAATAGCTCATGATACCTCGATGAACACACACACAAGCAGACACACACACACGCAGAGACACACACACAGAGCTCGTACTAACTTCAATGACTCTCTCTCTCTCTCTCTCCCTCGCTGGACAGACCTAACGTAACCATAATAACATTTTACACAGACAAATGATACTTAACACTGATGTAAAGTACAGTTACAGGTGACCATCAGTAACACAAGACCTGTAACACTGGTGCAACACAGGTAAGACCCAGGTAACGACCAATAACGTAGCGTAACTAACTGTTTGAGATAAAGTTTACCTGAGTCAGTCTACGTAATGTACATAGTTGAACAGGTGGGAGAGTGTGTGTGAGTGTGTGTGGAGAGTGTGAGTGTGTGTGTGTGTGTGAGTGTGTTGTGACGTGGGTAGTGGTGTAGTGTGGCGTGAGGCAGTGTGGGTTGGTGTGCTTGAGTGTACACAAGTCAGTCAGTCTGTGTGTGTGTGTGTGTGTCCGGGAAGGTGTTGCAAGGAGCAGTAATACGATCTATGAGGGCAGTACCAGGTCCTACACACAGATCCTTCATACCACTTACAGGTCCTACACACAGGTCTTACAGGTCCTACATATCACAGGTCCACACAGGTCTTACAGGTCCTACACACAGGTCTTACAGGTCCTACACACAGGTCTTACAGGTCCTACACACAGGTCTTACAGGTCCTACACACAGGTCTTACAGGTCCTACACACAGGTCTTACAGGTCCTACACAGGTCTAGTCCTACACACAGGTCTTACAGGTCCTACACACACTCAGAGGCATAACAACAACAGTTCTATACTCAGGTCACAATCAACTCCTTCACTACCACCACTACCACCACCACCACACCACCACACCACCACCACTACCACCCACTACCACCACCACCACCACCACCACCACCACTACCACCACCACTACCACCACCACTACCACCATCACTACCACCACCACTACCACCATCACTACCACCACCACTACCACCATCACTACCACCACCACTACCACCACCACTACCACCACCACTACCACCATCACTACCACCACCACTACCACCCACCACACCAACCCTTCCACCACCAACCACCAACCAACCACCACCAACCAACCACCACCAACCAACCACCAACCACCAACCAACCACCACCAACCACCACCAACCACCACCAACCAACCACCACCACCACCACCAACCACCACCACCAACCACCACCACACCACCACCACCACCACCACCAACCACCACCACCACCACCACCACCACCACCACCACCACCACCACCACCACCACTCACCACCACCTCACCTCACCACCACCACCACCACCACCACCACCACCACCACTGCCTCACCACCACCACCACACCATCACCACCACTACCACCACCACCACCACCATCACCAACACCACCACTGGCCACCATCACCACCACCACCATCCACTACTACTACCACCACCACCACCCCACCACCACCACCACCAACCACCAACACCACCACCAACCACTACCACCCCATCACCACCAACCAACCACCACCAACCACCACCAACCCCAACCACCACCAACCACCAACCAACCACCAACCAACCACCAACCAACCAACCACCAACCAACCAACCACCAACCACCAACCAACCACCCACCACCACCACCACCACCACCACCACCACCACCAACCACCACCACCACCACCACCACCACCACCACCACTCACTACCACCACCACTACCACCACCACCACCACCACCACCACTACCACCATCACTACCACCACCACCACCATCACTCACCACCACCACTTCACCACCACCACTACCACCATCACTACCACCATCAAAGCTACCACTATTATTACTACAACTACCACCACCATCAGTACATTCCCTACCACCATCACCACTACCACCACAACATGACAACTACCCCACAACTACTACCACAGCTACCACAAATCAGACAGGCGTATACACAGACAGAAAGACAAACGTACATACACAGACAGACAGAAAGACTCTGCAGCCTTCCATAATAAGAGACACGCTTAATGACGATGATCCAGTAATTAGTGTGTGTGTGTGTGTGTGTGTGAAAGGTATCAGATTCTACGATCTCCATAACCTGTTGCAAGAGAGGGGTCTGTGTGGGGGGGGGAGGGGGAAAGGAGGAGATGGAGGGAGGGGGAAAGGAGGAGATGGAGGGAGGGGGAAAGGAGGAGGGGAGGGAGGAGGGGAGGGAGGAATGAGAAGGATGGAGGAACGAGGAGGTAGAGGTGAATTAAGGGAAGGTTGAGAGAAAGTGGAGGAAGGAAGTGAAGGAGAGAAAGGAGAAGGAAGTGAGGGCGGAGGTGAAGCTAAAGGAGGGAGAGAAAAGGAGGTGAAGGAAGGAGAGAGAGGAGGAGGAGAACCATATCTTCACAACAACACTTCATACAAAGTAATACACATTAGGCTGTATAATGCTTAAGGTGTATACAGGTGAGTTAATGAGGTAGGTGAAGGCATACTGTATGCACCTTTCCCACTATATGACACCTAATGACACCTCACTACTGTATATGACACCTAATGACACTTCCCACTGTATATGACACCAACTTGACACTCTCCTACTGTATATGACACCAACTTGACACTTCCCCACTGTATATGACACCAACTTGCCACTTCCACTGTATATGACAATTAATCTGACACTTCCCCACTGTATATGACACCAACTTCGCCACTTCCCCACCGTATATATGACACAATCAACTTGACACTTCCCCACCGTATAAGACACCAACTTGACACTTCCCCACTGTATATGACACCAACTTGACACTTCCCCACTGTATATGCGACACCAACTTGATGACCTCTCCACTGTGCGCACACCAACTTGCCACTTCCTCACTGTTTATGACACCAACTTGACACTCTCCTCACCTGTATATGACACCAACTTGACACTTCCTCACTGTATATGACACCAACTTGACACTTCCTCACTGTATATGACACCAACTTGACACTTCCTCACTGTATATGACACCAACTTGACACTTCCCCACTGTATATGACACCAACTTCTGACACTTCCCCACTGTATATGACACCAACTCTGCTATTCCCCCACTGTATATGACACCAACTTGACACTTCCCCTTAATTGCATATGACACCAACTTGACACTTCCCCACTGTATATGACAATTCAACTTGACACTTCCCCACTGTATATGACAATCAACTTGACACTTCTCACTGTATATGACACCAACTTGATACCTCCCCCACTGTATATGACAATTCAACTCTGCCACTTCCCCCACTGTATATGACACCAACTTGACACTTCCCCACTGTATATGACACCAACTTGCCATCACTTCCCCACTGTATATGACACCAACTTGACACTTCCCCAATTATATATGACACCAACTTGCTAATTTCCCCACTGTATATGACAATCAACTTGACACTTCCCACTGTATATGACACCAACTTGACACTTCCCCACTGTATATGACACCAACTGACACTTCCCCACTGTATATGACACCAACTTGACACTTCCCCCACTGTATATGACACCAACTGCCACTTCCTACCGTATATGACACCAACTTGACACTTCCTCACTGTATGACACCAACTTGACACTTCTCACTGTATAAGGCGACACCAACTTGACACTTCCTCACTGTGAGGCACAATTAACTTGACACTTCCTCACCGTATATGACAATCAACTTGACACTTCCCACTGTATATGACAATTCAACTTGACACTTCCTCACTGTATATGACACCAACTTGACACTCTCACTGTATATGACACTGTAACTTGATATCTCCCCACTGTATATGACACCAACTTGACACTCTCACCGTATATGACAATCAACTTGACACTTCTCACTGTATATGACACCAACTTGACACTTCCTCACCGTATATGACACTGTTCTGACACTTCCTCACTGTATATGACACCAACTCACACTTCCTCACTGTATATGACACCAACCATTCCTTACTATTCTATATGTATATGACACCACCATTCCTATACTGTACTGTATGTATGACACCAACCACTTCCTCACTGTATATGACACCAACTTGACACTTCCTCACTGTATATGACCACCAACTGTACTTCCCCGTATATGACACCAACTTCCTGTACTTCCTCACCGTATATGACACCAACTTCCTATACTTACTCACCGTGTATATGACACCAACTTGCCACTTCCCACTGTATATGACACCAACTTGCCACTTCATGTATGTATATGACACCAACTTGCCACTTCTCACTGTATATGACACCAACTTGCCACTTCCTCTGTATATGACACCAACTTGCCACTGTACTCACTGTATATGACACCAACTTGACACTTCCCTACTGTATATGACACCAACTTCCACTTCCTCACTGTATATGACACCAACTTGACACTTCCCCACTCATATGTATGTACAACACCTTCCTATACTGTATATGTACATGACACCACCAACTCACTTCCTATAATACTGTAACTGTATATGACACCAACTTGCCACTTCCCCACTGTATATGACACCAACTTGACACTTCCTCACTGTATATGACACCAACTTGACACTTCCCCACTGTATATGACACCAACTTGACACCTTCCCTGCCAGCCAAGTGACACCCTAAACACAGGTCATTGTTCATGCTCCCTCGAGGGTGAC